ACAGCACTGTGTTCTGGGTGCAAGTCAAGACCCTCCTGTCTTGGAAGTCTTTGCATCTCATCCCATGAATCTGGCTCTGGTTTTAATGTTACATGAGCAACATAGGATATACATTTGGCTGGGATGCCTTTATTGCTTCTGGTGGATTTCCTGATTAAAGCCTCTTGTGTCCTAGTTTCTTCCTTTACAGTATTTGGATTGTCTGCATTATTTCTGTGTCACTTTTTTGCTTACGTGTGACATTGATGTGGAATTTCCCTCAGTTTGAAGCTCTGCTGTTACTCTGCTTTGGAAAGGCTTTTCTGGCCTTTCCTTTTATACAGCTGGTGCATTTCATTGTTTGATCACTGAGTATTAACCACCTCATTGCAGTTCAGCTGATACAGTTCATCTGTAAATTTAGCCTTTGCAAGTAAGATATCCCCCTTTGTGATGGCACAACTGTCATTTTGGAAAGTCACTACATTACCTTGTTTTGTGAGCTTCCTTGCAGACAAAATATTTGTTTCAAAAGCAGGGACATACAGGACATTTTTCATAGGTATCACAGGTGACACACTGAGAAATAGGACAGTAAAGGAAACCGTCTTCTATTCCTTCTGATTCCATTCTTTGACATTAGCTGTGGTGATTTTTTTCTGTTTTATTCTGGTCAAGGTAAATAAAGAAATTTCTATCATTTTGTCATGTGACTCATAACTCCTGAATCACCACAACATGAAAGGATTAGGTGCAACTCTTGGATTTAAAAACATTAATTAGCTGAGGAAAAATCAGTTTCTTCCTTCACATTTTTGGCCTTTTGTAGTTTAGTTTGTTTTTGCTTTCTAGCTTTCCAGCTTCTGCAGTCTGCTTTTAAATGGCACCATCACTATTACTTTGTTTCATGCTTATATTCATGCGCAAGCTTGCCCTTAACATATTCCAATGTCAGTTCCTAATCTACACATGCATCAAGTACTATGACAAGTGTTTCATAACTTTCTGGTACATCACTAAGTAATAGTGCTGCGACATGAAAATATTTTATTTCTTCTCATATACCTCTCAGGCGTTCAACCATTTCCACAGTGTGCCTTATGTAATCCTGCATATCCTGGCCTTTCTTCAGCTTGGTTTGGTATAGCTTTCTAATCAAATACAGTTTATTGCTAAGTTTAGCTCTTTTATGCACCTTTTGTAATCCTTTCCACATTTCTTTAGCATTTTCACACTTACATATACCGTATGTATGAATTCATCATCTTATATGCTAAGTTAAATTGTGCTCTGAGCTTTCTGATGTTTCTCTATCCACTCATCCTGAAGGGTGTTTTTGGCCTGACTTCATTTATGTACCTTCTCTTATTAGCAACAGTTTCATCTTGAATCTCCAAGACTGGTAGTTCTGGTTTGTCAGGTTTGCAAATGTAAGCTTTGTTGCAGCTGTGTTACTGGCCATTTTCTTTTATTCTGTTGCAGTCTTTTTTCTGTTGCTGTATCTTGCACTTATTTGCTGTGGCAGGCTATGACTGGGCCCATAACCTGTTACAAATTCTGTATAAGGCCCTACAGAACAGAGCGTGCACAGTCCACATGTGCATTTCTGCTTTATTGCAACAAGGAAAAAGGAAACTTTCAGAGAAAAGACACCACAGAGTTTACCATAGATGCAGCTACAAACTTATAAACACTGCCACCTACCGGTTGAAGAATAATCTCTACTGAATACTTATGTAGTTGTTGCACAAAATACATGAACAATGTATTCCAACACCAGTACATCCTGGCCTTTAACACACCACCACTGCAGTATCTCATGGTGATATGGCAAGTCCCAGAAGTGCAGTCCAAGCTGGTGAGGTGGCTAGCACTAGTAGCATCTTGCAGCCACCAAGAATTCAAACACAGGCCTGTAGAGCCCATAGAAGCCATCCAGAGGTTCTTGCAAATCTTGCCTGGCAGCCCCCAGATTCAGCAGCACCTGTTATTCCCCCATTCATAGCCCAACCCGGAATTCAAGTGGAAACAGCAAATTTACCAGATCTGGGGTCAAAATGTGTGAGCTTGGTGAGAGGGCAACAGGCTATACGTACAAATCACAGGTGATGCTGGTTTGCATGTGGAATTTGTGAAAAATGTGGAATTTTGAACTAAAGTTGAAAACAGGAGTTAAAACAGGAGTCTTATAACCTGGAAGTAGCATCTTCAATTTCCTATAATTATATCGTAACAGGGATAATGGGTGTTAGCAAGGTTGAAGGTTTGCTCAGGTCATAATGTGTCATACGTATGCAAAAATGGTGCAACAGCTCCAGGATGCATACTGCTGTGCCAGATGTCAGCACATTGCCATTCTAGAAGCTCACATTAGAGATCTGGAGGAGCAAGCTGTAACACTGAGCAGAAAGGACAACCTTAAAAGCGGCCATCTGCTCACTGAACAGGTGGTTAAAGAGGTTGATGTGGAGGGGTAAGTTATGGTTATCAGGTAGGAAGATGGGTTACTGTAGCTAGGGGGAATTACTAGAGGTTACTGTAGCTAGGGGCAATCAGAAAAGGAAGGCCAGTCCTGTGGTTGAGCGCCAAAACAAATTTACCAAGTTGAGTGAAGATGTGGAGGTGGCAAACGCAGAGAGGTGGCAGCCCTGGATTTTACTGCTAACCCTAACAGGCAGGAGAGCAGCCCATCAAGTATGGGTGGTGAGGGTAGTGCAGGAAGGCCTAGGGGCCTAGGGGATTCCAAAATCAGAAGGACTGATAGAATAATTGGTTGCCAGGATGGCCTCAAACAAATGGTTTGCTGTCTCTGTGGTGCCAGGGTTCAACATGTGGTGGACTGGGTTGATAAATTACTGGGAAGGGCTGGGCATGACCAAGCTGTCTTGGTCCATGTTGGAAGCAATGACAAAATACACAGAAGGTGGAGGCTCCTTAAGAATCAATTTAAAGAACTAGGCTGCAAGTTGAAAGGACGGACCTCTAAGGTGATATTGTGCAACACAGGAAAGACAGGTGGAGATTAGAGAACTGAATGCACGGCTAAATACCTGGTGTAAGAAGGAAGAATTTGGGTTTCTAGAGCACGGGGCTGACTTTTCATTGGGGTACAACCTACCTGCTAAAGATGGTTTGCACCTAATTGGAAGTGAGTCTGCTGTGCTTGGGGAGAGGTTTATGAGAAAGATGGAGGAGTATTTAAACTACGCTTGAGGGGGGAGGGAAAATTAGAATTCACTGAGGCAGACAGGTCAGTTAGGGGTGAGACAATAATGGAGGATGGAATGGGGATAGATGGGGGAGGGTTATGGCAGGTGATAAGAAGGTTTCCATGTTACAAACAACCATTGGAAATTATAGTACTGTTTGCACTACTAAAAAAGATATGCAAAACACAAAAGCAAAATGTGATAATGAATTAAAGTGTTTGTTCACCAATGGCAGAAGTCAACAAAGCAAAATAGGTGAGTTGGAAGCTTTGGTGCACAAAGAGAACAATGATTATAAATAACAATCAATTGGTATTGCTGAATCTTGGTTTCTTTTCTCACATTACTTGGATATTAATATTCCTGGATATGCTCTCTTTCGGATAGACAAGATTAAATGTAAAGGTGGCAATGTCTGTCTGAGAGAAGTGATCTCAAAGCGAGTGTGAAAGAGGACCTGGTTGATGGACAGTGTGATGAGGCTGAAGCATTATGGGTGGAACTGCATATGGATGTGTGTAGTTCAAGTTTTTTTTTTTTTTTTTTTTTTTTTTTTGGGAGGGGGGGGGGTCTGTAGTCCAGGGGAGTGAAGTGCCCAGTGTCTATGGGAGCCTTTAGGTCTTTTCTAGGCTCTTGGGGTATGGGAGGATGGGTAGGTCTGTAGTCCAAGGGAATGAAGTGCCCATAGGAGCTTTTAGAGCTTCTCCAGGCTCTTGGGGCTTGGAAGGGTAGGTCAGTTGACCCATGAGAATGAAGTGTTCATGAAGGCTATTAGGTCCTATCTAGGCTCTTGGGGCATGGGAGGGTGGCAAGGTCTGTAGTCCAGGGGGATGAAGTGCCCATGGGAAGTTTTAGAGCTTCTCTATGCTCTTGGGCCATGGGAGGGTGGGTAGGTCTGTAGTCCAGGGGAATTAAATGCCCATGGGTGCTTTTAGAGTTTCTTGGGCCATGGGAAGGTGGGTAGGTCTGTAGTCCAGGTGAATAAAAGTGCCCAAGGAAGCTTTAGAGTTTCTCCAGGCTCTTGGGGCATGGAAGGGTGGGGGGTTGTATTCCAGGTGCATGAAGTGTCCATTGTCCACGGGAGCTTTTAGATCTTCTCCAGGCTCTTGAAATATGGACAGGTTGGTAGGCCTGTAGTCCAGGGGAAAGAAGTGCATTGTGTCAATAGGAGCTTTTAGATCTTCTTTAGATTTTTGGGGCATGGAATGGTGAGGGGATTGTATTCCAGGTAAATTAAGGTATCACCTGGGTAGGGTGGCTTATGTTCCAGGTGAATGACGTGTCCATGGGAACTTTTAGGTCATGTTCAGGCTCTTGGGGCATGGAAGGGTGGGGATCCAGGTGAATGAAGGTTTCACCTAGGTGGGGTGGTTTGTATTCCAGGTGAATGTAGTGCCCAATGTCCATGGGAACTTTTCGGTCTTCTCCCAGGCTTTTGGGGGCATGGAAGGGTGGGAGTCCAGGTGAATGAAGTGCCCAGTGTCCATAGGAGGTTTTAGAGCTTCTCCAGGCTCTTGGGGTTGGTGAGGATCTCCCGGGCCAGCCTTCAGGTCTGCTTGGCGGCGTAATCCAGGATGGAGTGGGGTTTGCCCTGGAAGTGGTCCAGGTTGGGCAAGAAGTAGTGCGGGCACCTCCGGCACTGCAGGCAGGAGATGAGTTGGAGCAGGATGCCATTGAGCCTGTCGCCTAGGCACGCCTCGTCCCAGTCTGACTCCCTGGGGTGCTTCTCGCACTCGTAGGAGACCAGAGTCTTCATGTGGTAGTTGTTGAGGGGCTGGCCGGGCAGTTCCAGGTGCCGGTCCCGGAGGGTTTTCAGCAAGGACAGGCATTTCTTCCTACAGCCGCCCAGCTGCAGCCGGTTCTCGGACTCGGCGAACTGCAGCACCCAGGCGTCACTCTCTGCCAAGCTCTGCTTGCCGGCCAGGGTATGGCACTCCTTGGACAGCAGGTTGAAGCCCTCTGCCTTGACCTCGGCCACCCGGTTGGGGCCCGGCCAGGGGATGTGGGGTAAGGGCTAGTGGACAGCACTGTGGGGCCAGATGCTGGTACACTTGAAGGCGGGGTGATCTTCACCACGTAGCGGTCCCGGATCCTCAGCTTGACCTCCTTGGTGTCGGCCACCATCTTGACCACATCCCGGTAGCTGCACTTGTCCACAGCCTGGGCCACCAGGGTCTGGGAGCGGATTTTCCTGGCAGACAGGTAGCCGGAGGCGGTGATTAACTCCACCCACAGGGACATGCTCCTCTTCCAACCATCGCTCAGCTTCAGCACCGCACAGCCCGGCAGGGAGCCGTCATCCACAAAGTTGAAGACCCCCATCTGGTTGAGGTAGAGGACCACCTCAAACTCCATCGGGGAGATGACCTCCAGGCCCTCGTAGCGATTGTCTTCCTCGTTGAGGGAGCTGATGAAGCGGGGCTTCTGCACCTCCACCTCCTTCAGCACGTCCGACACCACCTTGCACACCTCCCGGGTGGTCTTGGCGATGGTCACCTTCCTGGCCTGGCACTTCTCGTTGTAGTACTTGTTCAGGTGGTAGACCAGCTTGGCCTGGGCGGCGTTTGTGTTGGGGCAGAGATCCGGGTTGTACACCGGAGTCTCGCAGTAAGCCGACAGATCCAAGGCGGCTACTGGGGAGGGAGCCAACTTTCTGCAGAAGATCTGGGGCTCCCGGGCTGGAGTCAGGACGGCGGATGGGGCCCCTAGGAGGATGCCATGGAAGGGGGGACACGCTCCCGGCCCCTGGTTCGACACTGGGCACCACACGAGACAGAGGGAGGAAGGGGGACTGTAGTCCGAGCATGGTCCCGGGGACAGAGGACACTCTACACAGTCTATGGAGTTACGTAGTTCAAGTTAATCATTGGAGTTTGTTACAGGTCAGTTAGGAGGTGGAGACTCGGCTTCCTGCACAGATGGAAAGGGCTGCAAGGGCTGGGTCAGTGATAATAATGGGGGATTCTAACTACCCTGATATTAATTGGAGTAACTGCACTTCTGGAACAGTTAAAAAGCAAAAATGTATACACCTATTACAAGACAATGTTATGGTACAGTTCATAGAGGCCCCAACTAAGAATGATGCTCGACTGGACCTGGTAATCTCAAACCATGCAGAGCTTATTATTAATGTTCGTATAAAAGAACATCTGGGTAGCAGTGACCATAACATGATTTCATTTAATGTTATCTGTAAACATCAAGCACATACTGGAAATATAAAAACACTTAACTGTAAGAGAGCAAATTTTCGAAGGATGAGGGCTGCTCTCCAAGACTTAGACTGGGAGGGAATATTGTCATCGAAGAACACAGAACAGAAATGGGAATTCTTCAAAAAGACTGTATGTAAACAAACTGCAATAATATATTCCCATGGGCAATAACTATAAAAGGCTAAAAATAGAACCTCTGTGGCTCACGTCCGAAGTTAAAAAAGCCATAAATAATAAGAAAAGAGCTTTTAAAAAATATAAAAATGAAGGAACGCTATAATCGTTTAAATGTTACACAGAATGTGTAAAAAGGAACAGGACACAAAAATTCAAAATGAATGACAGATTGCAAAAAGTCCTACAAACAACCCAAAAAAAATTTAAATATATTAATAGTAAAAAGGTCAGGTCTAAGCATGTAGGCCCTTTGCAAAATAATCTAGAGTGGGTGACCGGGGACAAAGAGAAGGCAAATTTATTAAATACCTTCTTCAGATCTGTGTATACAAAAGGGCATGGGGGTGCTCTTGTCCGTAATGGGGATGATATTGACACAGCCCCAAATGATCCACAATGTCTCAAAATTGATATGGTCCAGAAATATTTAGACAGAATAAAGGTGAATAAAGCACTTGGACCAGATGGCTTACACCCATGGGTCCTAAAAGAATTGAGCCCTGTCATTTCAAAGCCATGGTTTCTAATATTTAGGGACTCTTTAATGATCAATGTGGTGCCTACATTTAAAAAGAAAAGGGTCAAAGTCTTTACCAAGTTACTACTGACCTGTTAGTTTAACTTCTATAGTTGGGAAGATACTGGAGAGTTTAATAAAAGACCACATAGATGAGTTCTTGCTTAAAAAAAAAAATTTAAGCAAAAGACAGCATGGATTCAAACACAGATGTCAAACACATCTGATTTCTTTTTATGAGGAGGTGAGCAAAACCTTAGACAAAGGAGTAGCTGTGGACGTGGTATACTTGGGTTTTGCAAAAGCGTTTGACACCGTTCCCCACACATGGCTAATGTGTAAGGTAAAGTCTACGGGCTTGGAAAAATCAGTATGTAAATGGATAGAAAACTGGCTAAAAGATCGCATTCAGAGAGTAGTGGTTAATGATTCATACTCTGAATGGTCTAGGCTTGTCAGTGGTGTACCCTAAGGTTCAGTATTGGGACCCTTACTGTTTAATATATTTTATAAATGATATGGGGTCTGGGATTAAAAGTACTATTTAGTAAAGCGGCAAAGTATATTATTTACGTAAAGGGGGCACGCTTTATGTCTGGAGAAAAAGATATTTAATCTCCAAACATGGAAAGGTTTCTTCACAATGAGAGCTGTGAAAATGTGGAATAGACTCCCTCAAGAGTTGGTTCTGGCCAGCTCAGTGGATTGCTTCAATAAGGCCTGGATTATTTCTTAGATACACAGAATATAACTGGATACTAACATTTATAGGTAAAGTTGATCCAGGGAATATCCAATTGCCTCTCGGGGGATCAGGAAGAATTTTTGTTTCCCAGCAGGAGCAAACTGAATCATGCTTTGCTGGGGTTTTTTTCCTTCCTCTGGATCAACTGTTGGTAAAGGATTATAACTTTTTTTTTTTTTTTTTTTCTGGTTGAACTGGATGGACTTTTGTCTTTTTTCAGCCAGAATAACTATATAACTATGTACTATATTTAGTGCTTGCAGAGGACACCAAGTGGAATAACATCCTTACAGGATAATAGATATAAAACTCATGCGCTGCTAGATCAAAATAGAAATAGAAATAATCACTAACTTATACAGAATAAAAGTAAATAAATAAAGAAATGACAGACTGCTGCAACCACTAATGCAGTGTACTCCCACACAACTAAAAGTCCCTTTAAATAGCAACCATGCATGCGCCCCCAAATGCTGGTCCTCCTGCCCACACCCTCTCTGTTCTATCCCAGGAACACCCGATCCACCGCTGGATACCGGTATCCAGAGTCAGCCCCCGGGACACCGAGCTGATCCCGGAGAAACGTCATTTGACTTGCAACTACTGTTAATTACAGCGCATTTGACCTATATAGTATGTAGGTTTAGCTGTAAGGTGAGCAATCATTGCACATATACAGTTGCAAGAAAAAGTATGTGAACCCCTTGGGATTACGTGGAGTTTTGCATGAATTGGGCATAAAATGTGCTCTGAACGTCATCTAAGTCACAACAATAGAAGAACACAGTCTGCTGAACATAATACTACACAAACATTAGATGTTGCCATGGTTTAATTGCACATAACATGTAAACATTCACAGTGCAGGGAGGAAAAAGTATGTGAGGCCCTAGCTTAATGACTTCTTCCAGAGCTAATTGGAGCCAGGAGTGAGCCAACCTTGACTCCAATCAGTGTGATGATATTGGATGTGTTGCTGACAGCTGTCCTGCCCTTAAAAAACACACATCTGTTTTGGGTTTACTGGTTTCAAGAAGCACTGTCTGATGTGAACCATGCCTCGCAGAAAAGAGCTCTCAGAAGACCTACGATCAAGAATTGTTGACTTGCATGAAGCTGGAAAGGGTTACAAAAGTATCTCCAAAAGCCTTGATGTTCATGTGTCCACGGTAAGACAGACTGTCTACAAATGGAGAAAGTTTAGCACTGTTGCTACTCTCCCTAGGCGTGGTCGTCCTGTAAAAATGACTGCAAGAGCACAGCGCAGAATGCTGCATGAGGTAAAGAAGAATCCCAGAGTGTCAGCTAAAGACCTACAGAAATCTCTGGCACATGCTAACATTTTTTGTTGACACATCTACAATAAGGAAAACATTAAACAAGAATGGAGTACATGGGAGGACACCACGGAGGAAGCCATTGCTGCCCGAAAAGAATATTGCAGCACGTTTGAAGTTTGCAAAAGAGCACTTGGATGTTCCACAGCACTACTGGCAAAATATACTGTGGACAGATGGAACCAAGATTGAGTTGTTTGGGAAGAACACACAACACTATGTGTAGAGAAAAAAGGCACAGCACACCAACATCAAAACCTCATCCCCACTGTAAAACATGGCGGAGGGAGCATCATGTTTTGGGGCTGCTTTGCTGCCTCAGGGCCTGGACGGATTGTTGTCATTGATGGGAAAATGAATTTCAGAGTTTATCAAGACATTTTGCAGGCAAATGTACGACCATCTGTCCGCCAACTGAAGCTCCGCAGAGGATGGGGGATGCAACAGGACAATGACCCAAAGCATACAAGTAATTCAACAAAACAATGGCTGCAACAGCACAGAATACGCCTTCTGGAGTGGCCCAGTCAGAGTCCTGACCTTAACCAGATTGAAATGCTGTGGCATGACCTTAAGAGAGCGATTCATACCAGACATTCCAAGAATATTGCTACACTGAAACAGTTTTGTGAAGAGGAGTGGTCCAAAATTACTCCAGATCGTTGTGCAGGTCTGATCTGCAACTACAGGAAACGTTTGGTTGAGGTTATTGCTGCCAAAGGAGGGTCAACCAGTTAAGTCCAAAGGTTCACATACTTTTTCCTCCCTGCACTGTGAATGTTTACATGTTATGTGGAATTAAACCATGGGAACATCTAATGTTTGTGTAGTATTATGTTCAGCAGACTGTGTTCTTCTATTGTTGTGACTTAGATGACGTTCAGAGCACATTTTATGCCCAATTCATGCAAAACTCCACGTAATCCCAAGGGGTTCACATACTTTTTCTTGCAACTGTAAGTGTGAATCACTAGTCTGTGGATGCGCTTAAACACTCTAAGGAAGAGCATTTTTCATGAAGAACTGGATGTCACAAAAGGACTTGGGAGATCACTTACTTCACTCTATGAAGATACCATCCCTAACTGAAAAAACTAATGGGGTTTTAAAGGCACCATACCACAAAAATACAATTACAAACATTACATTCTTCTTAAAAAGCTTGTAAGATTGATAACAAGCACAATTGATATAGATTAGTGCAGAATGAGGCTTCAGATAGCCTGGATGTTAAAACTAGCATACTTGGTACATCTGTGTTCAATTGGTGGACATCGATATTCCCTAAGTGAGAGATCCTGGATTGTATGTTCGTGCTCTTTTCCACTGGCCTCCTGCAAAGTCTTTGATGTCATTTTGGAGTTTTTATACTTTTTCTCCCTGAAGAAGCGGGCTGCGTTCTGTGAAACGCATTGGAGAACAAAAGCCAAATATCTACTTCTAATAACTATGCCAGTTATGGAGAACAGTAGCAAAGCATTCTCTTGTACCAATTATGCTAGTTATGGTAGTTATGATATCCAGGCTATCTGAAGCCTCATTCTGCACTAATCTATATCTATTGTGCTTGTTATCAATCTTACAAGCTTTTTAAGAAGAATGTACTATGCACTCAATTTTTTATTACAACAGTGGTTTGAATTTTATTAATAAAGTTATATTTACTACATAGTTTGTAATTGTATTTTAGCAAGGGGGGTGATATGACCTTGGATCTCCATCTCCCACCTTCTCTTCTCTATTTGTACTTCACTCTATGG